AATTTCTAGTTATAAATACCAATTAATTTAAAGATATTTGTAAAAATCATGCTCAATTTTACCTGAATATTAAAATTCAAATAATGAGGTTTTAATGAAATTCGAATGAATTTTATTATACGAGTAACGAAATATAATGATTATATACTCAGGTTTGGCCATTTGACTCAATCCGTCTTTATAACAATAATAATTCAAATAAACCATAAAGGATGTTGTGTTCTTTTTAACTTTTCATCTAATTTGCTTTGCATGCTATCTTAAGATTGTAAAAAAATTACCGTGACTAAATTAAGTCAAAATCTTCCTTATAGTAGATAAGGAGTAATCTACCATTTCAAGTTAATTGTTTAAAGTATGCCGTTAGTCTCCGCGTAATATGATATTATTAACGTTCCTTTGAATTGGAACCACATGAGATGTGATTTTTATAATAACTTTGTTTTTTTAAATAATTCGACCACCATTAAATGATATCGGCCGGGTGATATATACAATAAAATTTGTACTGAGTTCTCATTTAGTCTCATCACAGTATTAAAGTTATCAATTTTCTTAAGCTATATCAAAATAAGATGGAAACCATTTTGCCTAATTAATTTCTGATCTATATTAAGTTAGCAGCAAGGGATGCTGTTTAATTAAATTACAAATTTTTCCTTATTAGTCTATTCTATAAAACATTGTCTAGAATGGTAACATAGCGTTATATTAGTTTCATGATCTTTTGTCAATATAGGTTGCTAAGAATTATATTGTCTGTGGTTTTTAAAAACCATACACTTGTATTTCTTTAGACGCGAAATTTTTTTATATCCGCAATCTAAAATATAATATTGTGTAATAAATTAAATATTTTATATTAAATGGTATCTTTAGAAATGTCTTGTATTGTTTTACTTTCATTATTTATATGCTAGTTAAGTTTGTATGTATAATAAATGACTAAATATGAAATTCAGATTAATTGTTAGGAGTTTTCAAATTTGTTTTTTTTTCCATGACGATATTTAATATCAAAATCATATGCACACATTTTCCATGCCAAGCGCGATAATCTACTATTGGATATTTTTGGTAGTTCACATTTATCACAAAATAATTTTTTCACAGTGTGATCTGTTAGTAATATAAATTCTCATCCAAAAAATGAATAAAGAAATTTTTCCATTCCAAACAGTGGCATAGCTAGGAATTTTCCTTAGAGGGGGTCCATACATATAAAAGCCTGGGAAGCTTCGCCCCCAGACAGGCCGGGTTTATCTTACAAATCATAACCATATCTTCGATAATATATAATAAATATATTTTTTAAATGCATCAATATATAATTTACTAGATTATTCTCAATGACTTTATAATAATATTATCCATAATAATTTCAATAGTAATATAATATCCTTTCACCAACATCAAAACCAAAAAAATATAAATATTAATGGTGTTTATTTGATATAAGGTCACTTTTAAGTCTTTTAAACATATAATCTAAAAAAAATTTTGTTCTGGGACGGGTCCAAACCCGAAAACCACCCCCGTAGCTACGCCACTGATTCCAAACATAAGTGCACGCTTTTTCTATTGGTGCATAATTTTTCTCTGATTCCAATAATGTTCGCGAAGCAAATGCGATAGGTCTGCTAAAACCCATTTTAACTAGGTGAAGTAGCACTGCTCCAAAACCAGTATTGGAGGCGTTACATTCCAATATAATTGGCAAGTTAAACGAATAAGGAATTAAAGTTTTATTTGTTGACAAAAGCTACTTTATTTCATTAGATACATCATATTCCCTGTCAGATTAACCCCAGGAACTTTTAATGCTTGTTAATTTATGCAGTGGAGCATCGATACCTTGTAAGTGTGGTAAAAATCTATCGTGATAATTCACAAGTCCTAAAAAGGATCGCAAATGGTGTATATTCTTAGGAGTTGGCATCCTTTGAATAACATCTATTTTTTCCTTCGCAGGTTGAATGCCATTTTTATCTATCGCAAATTCCAGAGAAACTGATTCTTTTAAAAAACCTATTTTTACCCATTTTACCTTCATTACAGCCTGTTTTAATTTTATGAATACTTTTTCCACATTGTTCAAATCCGTTATGATTTCAAGATTCATGGATATATAAATGACCTCATCTCTGCCAAATTGCTAATCCCCATGTATGCAAATAATATTTTTTTTCTTGGTTTCCTTATTTATTAATATCCCTCTTATCTCCAGTACATCATCTATATATTCAATATTATCTTGAAAATTGTTTTGTTTATCAAAATTATCAATTTTTTTTTGTTATATTTCTTGATAGTTGTTGTGTACTTGATTGCCATTATTCGTTTTACTTAAAATATTCATTTCACCACTCTTATTAATTAAAATGCTTGATTCATCTCTTTTACCAATTACAGTAGTTGGTTTTTCTTCTTTATTCATAATAAATAAAAGAATTACTCGAAGCCAATCTACTAAATTATACTACTACATATGACTTTATTGTTGCATTTGTTAGAAAATATATAATGTCAATCATTATGATAATATAATCCAAATAGAATGTATTATAAAATGTATGAACTATAATAATATCTTTTATAGCATTGATTACATTTTAGAGCCTAACTATCCCTGATAAGCAAATAGGATTTTATCAAAATTCCTAATAATTTTAGACTTAATGAAATCTGTATTTTATTTATGAAGGTTTATAGATGCTAGACAAAAATATATAATAACAAAATCTCAGTGGCATCGCTAGGGGGGGTGAGCGCAGGGGCTCAAGCCCCCTGAAAAATTTGAATAGCCCCCTGAAGCAAAAATTTTTTTTTAATGACTCCTTAATATCCCCTTGAACTAAAAATAAAATTTTTAATTGCTCCCTGAACAATTTTTTTATAATTCTATTGAGTAATATATAGATTTAATTTTATTATTTAAAAATTAATAAGACTATCTAAATTTTTATTAAATGAATACTATTTTAATTATTAGATTATTAATTATATTTTCACTATGTCTGCTTGCGATCAAATTCTGTGTTAAAAATATATCAATATCACTCACTAAATATTAATTTAGCATTAACAGTCGAATCTTAATAGACTTTTATTATTTAAATTATTATTTAACCCTAATTAAATTAATATAATCATTTATTAATTGAAAATTAACAAATTTAATTGTAATTAGCCGAGATTAACATCACTAATCAACTATATTATTGATTTTTAAATTAAATTAAATTAAATTATCATGTCTTTTTCTAAAATTATTTTCAAGGTCCAAATCCAAATAAGTATATAAGAGATTTATTTATAAAAAGTAAGTGGACATATAGTTTATAATCCTCTAATATATATAATTATTTATAAAATATTAGGTAAAATGCCACTTTTGCAGACGTATTTGACAGTTATATAATATATTAAAGTTAATAAAATTTTACTAATCAATGCTTTTGATAATAAATATAAGTAACAATTTGTATTTTAATTAACGCCATCTATTTATTTAAAATTATTATAATTAAACATATTATTTATCCCACAATAGATGTAATAAATAAGATATCTTTTCTTCTCTTTTTTTATGTGTTTTTAGGAAAGCTTTTTTTTCTTCTTTGGAAAACAGTTTTGAGTTAAATTTTTAACGAATATATATTAGATATTATTACAAACTACTATTATTTTAAGATATAATAAACCAACTTGAGATGGTGCGACAATAATATATAAAATTTTAAATGCTTTCATGATATCACTCTTCTTATTTTATAGTTACAAAATGTCACATTTCTAATATGTCATCCTTGCCGTGTAAATAACTCAAGCTTCAATATATTTGCATAATTTCTTCTAAAGATTTTTAGTGTTTTTGTTTCAACATATCTAACATAATAAATTCTGATATGTATTACCATCGTGTGTGTGATGGCTATGACTGTAAATTAACCAGCACCTATTATTTGTATGGCTATGTAATTTAAGATTATTACTTCAGCTGCTGAGAGTATATGATTGCATATTTTAGATATGCAATAATGTTCAACAGTGTAGTCGTTTATATATCATTAAAAATGGAAGATAATCTTTTAGAAATTTGATATCTCACAATAATTTTCTCGATTACTTATCTAACTTCCATCATGTCATCTAAGAGGAAGCTCTAACTCCATATAGTTTTATGATTTGGATTGGTCGTTTATATTCTCTTCTTCAAGAATTGCTAATTTGGTAAGGCCTCTAAATTGTTTCTTATTAGTCCATTCTATAAAACATTGTCTAAAATGGTAACAGATACTTATATTAGTTTCATGCCTTTTGTCAATGCAAGTTGCTAAGAATTATATAGCCTTATGTGGTTTTTAAAAACCATTATCAATTGAGGTATATGTATGAATTAATTAACCTTTTTTATCACTTGTAATTCTTTAGAAGCAAAATTTTTTTATATCAACCATCGAAAATATTTTATACTTTGATAAATACATTTTGTATTAAAAAATATTATTTTTAGATACGTCTTTGTAATTTACATATTAGTTTATTTTGTATGCAAAATATAATGAATGATAAAATATGAAATTCAGAATAATTGTTTAGAGTTAGCAAATTTAAAAAAAAAGTAGAATATATTAAGCTGAGTAAAGGCGGTTTAAAATCACAAAAATCTAAATTAAACTGAGAATTGACATCATAACTCAAAAAATAATGACGGAAAATTAATTTTTTTTCATTTTATGTTTATGTAAGTGAAAGCCCGCAAATTGGGAGTATGGTGGGGCAAGGCCCCCATAAATTTTTTTTATTTGAGCCCCCTGAGATTGCAAAGGCTAGCGACGCCCCCTGCAAACCCCTGCAAAATATATGTAACATTTTTGCTTTAAATGTTCACTTGCATGTATTTAAGAAAGTGTTAGAAAAAATTTGACTTTATCTATCGATATATTTTTCAATATTAATCTTAACTTAACAATAAATAAATTGTTGCCAATTGCCATATTTAAATCTCCAACATATGATAATTTTAACAATCATCTATCCTAACTTATTTTTATTAAACGATGGCCCAACTTATATCTGAAACACAACCTTTGTTATCCCCCTCACAAAAAAATGATTCGTTACAGAATACTTCACCTCAGGATAAAGGTTAATTCACACTTTTACTACGATTAATATTTTTTTAGGTGACATTTTAGGTTTACATTGCATAGGAAAAATTGAAGAGCCAAGACCATTTATCAATGCTTTGGCAGATGGCTCAAGAATTATTCAATGCCGAGTCTGTGATAATATGATAGATATTACTGGCAAAGAAAATCAACATGTTGTTAAATGTGACGTTTGTAATGAAGCCACTGTAAAGATTAATTATAATAATTTTACATAATCTTTATTATAGCCACTAAAAACTGCTCCTCTCCAGAAAAAATATGTAAGATGTCCTTGTAATTGTTTACTGATTTGTAAAGAATCTGCCCCTAGAATAGCATGCCCAAGATCTAATTGGTATAGTTGATTTAAACCTATATTAATTTCACTTTATTAGTAAAAGAATATTAAACCTTCAAGTTGAGACACCAAAAATAATATCATCTCTACCATTACCACCTGATAGTGTTAGGGTTGAATGTGTACATTGTGGAGAAACATTTTTAGTAATATGTTATAAAAAAATTTTATGATATAAGGGTGATTCCACGTCAAATCAACCAAAAAAACGAGATTTTCAGCCGACCATCTCAAAAATGAATGAAACTTGGCATGTTAGTTATTTATGTTGTAAATGTTAATAAAATCAAAATTTTATCCAAAGATATATGCCTTCAAAGTCGGAAATCTCGAAGTGCGTGATTTCATTAAATCTTGTTATTTTAGAAAATATTTAAGATAGAGTTACAAATTATATATCATTTTATAGCCCTTAAAATTTTACGTTGGAAAGTATTTTAAAAAAATTTCAAGTGTTTTCTTATTTTCGGTAAAAATAAAAAATTAACATTGTTAGGAAGGGATTTTTTTTGGGTCTTAATATTCAATAAAAATGTTTATTACCTTTATATTAAACGATTTAATAAAAAATCTTGATAGCCACTTTTGTTTTTTTAATTTTATTTGAATTTATATTATTTTTATAAATAAAAAAATGTAATATAGATAGCGCTATATTAATATTTTTTATAATATATAATTTATAATAAAAATATGAATAGTATTGTGATTAAAATTAAAAAATCTATTGAGTATAACCTAGAATGATCTCCTGGGGAGATATGTAAGCAGGCAGCCCATACAGATATTATTTTATTGACCCTATATTGTAAAATAAACATATTTTAAAATTTTATATTCAAACTATTATAATTTTGTGCCTTTTAATAATTCCTAAGGCCATAATTTGTAGTTCATTGTTGTGGATCTACTATCGTTATTATTTGAAAATAGCGATTTTATCAGCTTATTTTATTTTTTTATTCCTATCATCGCCACCAATCAATTATCATATATTTCAAAACTTAAACATTTTTTACAACCAAATGTATTTATGAAAATTTGTGATTTCTCTGAAAATTATGCATTTCCAAGACACTGTCAAAGATTCCACTGGAATAATAATCTAGCCACTATCCATCCTATGATAGCATATTATAATAATAATGGCAATATAGAAATCCTTAAATATATGGTAATATATGAATCACTTCAATAATGTTATTGCAGTACATTTATACCAGACTAAAATGATAAAATTTTTGACCAATCAATTCAGCAAAAAGCCAAACAAAATATATTACTGCTCTGATGGATCAGTTGCACAATATAAAAACAGATTTTTTTTTATAAATCTGTTATCATGAATCAGATTTTGGTGTAGCAGCTGAATGGCATTTTTCAGTTATATCCCATGGAAAAGGTCCATGTGATGGCCTTGGCGGAACATTAAAAGGATTAGCAGCGTCAAGCCTTCAGCGCATCAGTTCTGGACACATTTTAATGCCAGTTGATTGATATCGATTTGCAAAACAAAACATGCCATCAGTAAATTTTCATATAAAACCAGTGAACAATACAATTTACAAGAGATTAAACTACGAGAAAGATTCAATTTAGCCAGTCCCATTCCAACTCGGGAAATGCATGCTGTATTTGTTTTGAGTTTAAGTAAACTTAGATCAAAAATATATTCATATGCAGAGGACTTTCAAATTAATAATATCTCAAATGCCGATAATTTGTCTTTTGCCAATATTAAAGGATTCGTAACATGTGTTTATGACGATTTTTGGTGGTTAGCCACAGTACTAAAAATAAATGAAATTACAGAGGAGATATATATTTCCTTTTTACATACCCATGGACCATCACCATCCTTCTTTTACCCCACAATTGCAGAAAAGATGTGGTTACTAATTAATGAAATAATAACAGTAGTAGATCCTATTGCAGTAACAGGACGCACCTACAAATTATCGTCTCAAAAAATTATATTAATAAGCACAAAATGGGATAAGATTAAAACAAGAGGTATTTTTTTTTATATTGTTTGTGTATAAAATTTTAAAATATGTTTATTTTACAATATAGCGTCCTAATAAAATCATATCTATATCGGCTGCCTGATACATATCGCCCCAGGACGTCATTTTTGGTTATACTCAATGGATTTTTTAATTTTAATCACAATACTATTCATATTTTTACTAAAAATTACATATTATAAAAAAAATTAATATAACGCCATCTATATTGCATTTTTTATTTATATAAATAATAAAAATTCGAATAAAATTAAAAAAACAAAAATGGCTATCGAGATTTTTTATTAAATCGTTTAATATAAAGGTAATAAACATTTTTAGTGAATATTAACACCCCCAAAAAAATCTCTTCCTAAATGTTAATTTTTTATTTTTACCGGAAATAAGAAAACACTTAAAATTTTTTAATTTTTTTAAAATATTTTCCAACGTAAAATATTAAGGGCTATAAAATGATATATAATTTGTAACTCTATCTTAAGTATTTTTTAAAATAACAAGATTTAATGAAATCACGCACTTCGCAATTTTCGACTTTGAAGGCGTATATCTTTGGATCTGGTTGGGCTAGCACTCTAAAATTTCGATTTTATTAACATTTACAAAATAATAACTAACATGCCAAGTTTCATTTTTGAGATGGTTGGCCGAATCGTTGGTCGATTTTTCATGGAATTACCCATAATTATAGTAATTATTTCACAATTTTGAATTAGAATATATTTGATTTGACATATATAATAATGAATTTATATAATTAGAAATCAAGGGTAAGATTATATCCTTACAGGTTGTTAAAAAATACCTTTTAAATGTATCGAGATAAAAAAAAATACATGATTTAAAAGTGCATCTAGTTACATATTCAAACTATAAAATTGTTCCTAATCTTTGTCAGGATAACTCCTTCTATTTTTACTTGGGATTATGACAGATCTATTATCATGTCAAGCGGTATAATTATATACCATCTACCATTGCCTTCTTCTAAATAAAATATTTGCACTCCATCATTCTCTTTCAACTTAAAATGACAATTATAAATTCTATTTCCTCTCGTTATTCCAATACAAAAATTCCCTCTTGAGCTGGCAATCTGAAGTTTTATCCAACAGAACCTATCGACGCAGTAGTACCTTTTCAAAAGTTGAGCTTTTCCACTAGCTCTAATATCAGGGAATCCATCAACTTTTTCAATTTTATCAGTAAATATTTTCTAATTATAAACTAGCCTTTCATTACTGCAAAATGATTAGCTTGATTTTGAAGTTTCCGTTGTAGCAAATTTGTTCATCAACATATCACTATTCTTTCAATGGAATTTTTTTTTAAAAAAATTTTGGAAATCTTGAGTAGAGGTTTTATTTTATATAAAGGATCGAACTATTTAACCTGATTATCATTGAAATAGAGTGAGGCTTTTATTTGCTGCTATTGCTTTTAACACATAAAATTAGCTATCGTTGGTTGTCTTGTGCATGCTGATCAATAGAGTCTAAATTATGGATAATTTAGAACATGAAAAAAAGAATTTCAGTAAATTGTTCAAGCTCATTTTTATCCATAGAAGAGAATAAGGTTTTTTTGTTGAATAAGTGTATAGATTTGATTGATTTACTATTATATTAATTTGTCACAAAATTTATATTTGCTGACATTTTTTCAGTTCCTTCCCATTTGGGAATAATCATGGGTTTATTTGTGATCTTTCCATTGATTTTTTTAAAAACTTTTTGATATATAGTTGATTTTCTCAGTCCACATTTGCTTTGGGTTCCCTTCTAAAGGCTTATTCTTATTACATAATTTTTTTATTTTTTTTATAATTTTCAAAAAAGGGCCAGGCTGAAAATAAAATTTTAAAATCTGGACTGGACCTGAAAATATTTAATTTTTAAGCCTGGCCCAGTCCTATAATTTTGACTTCTGCAAATCTCTGATATTTTTATTAGAAATTAGTTAGTAAAGAAATGTTAAACCTCATTGTTGATTTATTATCAAATAAATATATATTTTAAGTAGGGATGTACCGATATTTTTTATCGGATCGGATCGGGCCGATATTACACCCATTATAAAATATCGGTTATCGGCCAATATTATAAAATTTGCCGATCCGATATAAAATGGCGTCCTTAAAAAAAATAAAATATAAATTTTTTAAAAAAAGTTATATCTAAAATCATTTATTTTTATAAATAAAATCAAAATCCATATTTTTTTTAATAATAATAATTAATTAATAAACATTCTGCCATATTGTTATTTTTTTGCGCATTCTGTTTATAAAAGTGTGCGATAATCTCTTCAGAATCTGTTTTTAGTGAAGCTGGTGATATTGACAGTTACCATCGCCTCAGGCTGATTTCTAATAAATTGGAAATTTTGATATTTCTAAAAAGAAATCTTCGATATATTAATGTTAAATATTATTTTAAATATTTTATTTAAATTTCATAATATATTTGTTTATTACTTATTATGTATATAGATTAATGTTGTTACTTATTATATAAAAGTGATTTATAATAAAAATATTTTATATACTTTTAGGCAATAGAATTGAATATAAACTATAACTGATCATTATAATATATTTAAATCACATAAGTTATGGTATAATTAAATTATAATACTAATAAAAAGTATATTACAAATTAAAACCATTGGTATCTTTACAGAATACAAAATTAGATATGATATCGGATCGGTTATCGGCCGATATTGAATTAATATCTGGAATATCGGATCGGCCTCCAAAAAGTGGTATGGTACACCCCTAATTTTAAGGCTTTAATCATTTTAAAAAGTGATATTTTTTAATACCTAAATAAAATCAACAAAGTTTATCTGATATCTAGGGTTTCTGAAATTTGAATCCTTTAAGATTCGAGAATCCAAAAAAATTACGCTTTTCCTTTCTTTACCCCTTTGACGACGATCAACATGTTTTGTTTTGCTCATATTTATTTTATAATTATTTTTTTATACAAAAATCATATGAAAATGTCAGTGCAGACTATGAAAGATGAAAAAGATGAACTACAGGAAAACATGATTTTAACAAATTTAAGCAGGAATTTACTTTTTTATAAAAAATACTGTAAAGCATACGGAAAATCTTCAGAGATTTTACTATGTAATTTATACATTAAACCCGATTTCAACAAATTTTGAAAGACCTTAATTTAAATAAATTTGAAAATTATTCATTGAATCCCAAAATCCCTTATTTTCAGAAACCCTGACTATTTAGAGATCTGCAAAAGTAAGCCGCAGGCTTTAGAAATTTTTTAAAATATATCTAAACTTATCAATTTTATGTTGAATTTTTTATGTAAAATAAAAATATGTGATTTTATTTATAGAAAGTAGACGCCATATAACATAAATCGTTTATTTTGAGTAATTATAAAAATTAATTTCTATATTTAAATAAATTTTGGCCGGGCAAAAATTTATAAAAAAAATTTCGGGCTAGTCTGGCCTTGAAAATTTAGGCCCGATGATCACTAATCCTATTCCTTATTAGAGAAAAATTTTGTAAAACTGAAAAAATACAATATTTCTGGAAATTGCTAAATTCACCAGATATATTTAAGGTTATGATGTGTTCAAAAATTGTTATTTTAATTTAAATTATGGTGTTGTCAGCAAAACCATTTTCTCTTAAAGATCATCAAATGGTATGCCCCCCATGATAAAGGCGGTACATAATATTGGGATTCTGAAAACCATTTATATATTTATATTTATTCCAGGATCAGATATGTAAATGCATTTATTGATAATAATTAAATGATTGAAATTTGCTTTAAAACATGACAATAATTAATATTACCCCATTTGGATTGAGCAACATGAAAATGATGTATTTTTTATATTGTTCTTTCCAATATTTTGATTTCTAAAATAATTATATATTTTTTTAATTAAAGATTATACCGTTAGATGGCGTATATGTTTATATAATATTTGTTATATTTTTGAAATTTATTAGTTCAACCTGGCAAGCAACACATTAGCGAGATGCCCCCATTGTAGAAAAGTGTAAGTTTAATTAATTATATCAATATCTTTCTATATTTTCTTTTTTTTAATATTAATTAAATTATCTAAAATTCTATTAAAATTTAAACTAAAATTAGATAGCAATGTGCATAATTAAGCAATATGTATTACATTTTATAGAATTGTCCGAAATTTATAGGATAGGTTTAGGACTGTGTCGATTCCCAAAATTTTTGCCTATCCGATCCACAAAATTTGATCTGATCCGATATTGATACAAACTCCATCCAATATAGATTGATTTTAATTTATCATCTATTTTTGAACTAATGTGCATAAAATAAATAACTATAATTACAAACTATGGCAAAAGAAATACCTTGAATTTCAGTTTCTCATGGCCAGCGATATTTGGTGCATTATCTATCACAATTACGAATGATTAAGTTTGGTTTATTTTTTCCCCAATTAATCAAATCATTTAAAATATGGGAATGTTTTTAAAATACTTTCTTGGCGAAAAAAACAATATCAAATTATTAGCTACTTTTTCTTTTATAGTTGGAAACCTATCCTATAAATTTTGGACTATTTAGGCATCAATTTTTGAGTTATTTTTAACGTATATACTAAAGTTACAAACACGGATTGACTGAAGTTTCAATCGGGCTATACATACATTGCTCGTAAAATATTAATAATTCTGTATATTTATTTTCTTTATTTGATATTGACTTGAAAACAAGTTATTTTAATTTTTATTTAGCTCTTCTGTTGGTTCTAATTTTGCTCGGAAAAAATCGTTGTTATTTCTTATATTCACCTTTCTGATGCTGACAACTTCTGTTGCTATATTGGTAAATATAAATACTAAATATACTTATGATTTTTAAAAATTAATTATAATTTTATAACTAAATTTGTGAAAAATATTTATTTATTTTTTAGATTACCACACATATTCAGAAAAAGCCTACCATGATAATACTTTATGTTTGTAAGTTTTCCCTATTTCAATTTTATTATCCTTTTATATTTTATATTAAAAATGAGTTATAAAATGTACTTCTTGTCTGTCAGAATAAGATTCATTATTTTATGTTTTATTTAATTAAATTATATATATATATATATATATATATTGAAGCTGCGTTCTTGCTAACCTTTTTATTTTTCCTTCGTTTCATATATTACTGTACGATGAAAAAATCCTCCATTGAATGCCTAACGCCTTAACAAAAAAAATATGAGCCAATACAATGATGTGATAGTTCAATCTTTACCATATAACAAATCGATTCCTCTAAATTAAAAATTTATTTGTAATATAGTTATTTAAAAATATATATAATGCATGTATAAATATTTAATATTCTCTTACCTAAATTATCTTTATTTTAAATACATTTTTTTTATTTAATCATTCTTATAATTATTTATAAAATCAACAATTATTTTCATATTTTATTCCATTTTTTTTATACAATCTTAGCAACTTCGTTCATGCCTATTCATGGATATTAATAACTACTCGTGATTGCAAATCTTATTGACCAGTTTGTAATAAGATTTATTATAATAATTAGTAAATTTAATTGATACTATTAGAAAGATTATCTTATAATGTTTATAAACATTTATGCTTTAAAAAATTACATTTTTATCGTTTGGCTGTAAATAAGTTAAATTTTGCTTTTAAACTTATTTTTTTCAATAAGAGGTTCAATTTATTTTTATTTTTTTTTAGTATTTCCATTTAAATAATATATTACGTTAATGTATGTTTATGCAAATTTATATGATAAGTTATCTTGTAGCTTTTATTTATAGAAACTTTCTTCCCATAAATTTTTTTTTAAATTGAAACACTAATATATTGGTTATATTAATAATATAAATATTGATTGATTTACTACCATATTTAATTTATTAAGAAATAAATATAGTTCTTAATAAAAACAATTCATATTTTTTTTAAATTTACACAAAAATATCATATATAAATTTTCTTCAAAAATTTAGGAAAAAATTCAATCTAAAAAAAAAAGTCACACATGTTTTACATGTATAATAAAAGTCAATTTAAAAAAAATAATTCCCACATGTAATAGAAAAGGGTTCATTTTTAAGTTTTCGTAATTAAAATTTTAAGCTTATAAACATTAACCCTACCCCTCCCCCAATGAATACAATATGTAATTATATAGAGTAATTTAAAAAGATATATACCTTTTTCGAGTTTTAAAAAAAAACACTGCTTTTTCAATTCTTATCAAACAAAAAGAGGACACTGTTTTTAAAAAAAGTCACTATGTGTCTGAAAATGAGCATTATGAGTGTGTCCTGGTTCAACTTATAAATAGCCTGCGGCTTAGCCGGCTATTTAGTATCAACCAAATAGCCTTAAAAGCAAAGGAATTTTTTTTTAAAAAAAAATACTAGAATAAAATACAAAAAATAAACCTATAAAACAAACCAAAATCGGGTGCCCTAATTCAAAAGGTGTTTAGTTTAGGCTAAAAAGCAATTATTTATCAAAATTAAGTCGAACCAGGACACCGCCTATGTGACTAAAAAGCTAGATATAATCGGGTAAATGACAAAATTAGTTTCCGATATGATTCTATAATATAAAAATAAAATCGGACTAAAGCGAATTATCGGTTAAAATAGATTTTAAATAAAAATCTATTTTTTTTCTCATATGATGTAAAATTTATAGGAAGAAAGAAAATAATTTATTTATTTCTTTAAATTTATTGTATTGATTTAGGGAAATTTTTTGTTAATCCAAACAGGAATGAAGTATAATTGTTATCTTATATATATATTTGAACAGTCATTGGAAAAAGGATATTTCTGAGACAATAATAATTATTTTCAGTATATGGTTATGGAAATTATTATATTAATTACAACGCCTGTCTTTCGCTTAACCTTTAATGAAATGCGTCTGATATAGGACTTGGTTCTAGTAAATCAATTTACAAGTGGTCAGGTAACCTGGAGAGTTTGCATATTGAAGTTGTTAGAGTTGGATAGGCATTATGGTCCGATCGATAAGGAGGAGAGAGTACTCCTATTTGGAATTGATAAATTTTTGAAAATTCCTAATCCATTCCATGATACCGCAAACCCATGGAAAGGTTATTCGAGGTGAAAGATTTAATGATATCTATGAATCGATTAACATGCTGTATTTGAAAGATAGCAATTTGTAATTTTAGCGTGGAGTACAGATCGTCAGATACTTCCACCTTAAAATTTTTAAAATATCAAAATTAATATTAAGATAGAATTCTCAAAATCCAAATCAGTAAAAAATTAATCGACGAAAAAAAATAACTAAAAGAAAATCCTAATCGAAATCAGTATATACCATTACTGCGTTTGCACATATTTACATCCCCCCCCCCATTTTATTTAAGGAGGTTTTTTTGTAACTCTTTACCTCCTTAAATTTCATTGGCTATATCTTGTGTGACACCCCTCCCCCTAATGGTGGCAGTGCCTGCAGGCTATGTCGAAAAAAATCTACCGAAACCGGTTATTTATGTATAACTTTGAACCAAGTTACAATTTTTGTTAAACGGTCCGATTTGAGCCTATATTCTATTACCAGAATCTTGATGCCTAGGCAATATTTTTTGGCTGAAAGTTTTACAAAACTAGTTACCAATACCACAAGCATATGGAGGGGGGCTCATCCCCCCTCCCCGAAAAATTGGAAAAATTTTTTAACCTTTTTTATGTTTTTAATTTATTATAAATAATTATTGATCTCCAGTATTTGATTATATCTTGACAGAATAAAGTATTCTTTGAGACCAAAAAATGCTCTGCAGGCCCTTTCCATGTGTATTTGCCCTTTAGATACCCTACCTAATATCAAAGCATTTAGCTACCTTACCAATTAGTATCTGCACTAATGAAAGACTTTTTTTTAACTTTAAAAAGGTTAAATACCTATTTAAGAAATACCAACGGTGAAAAACGTTTAAATTGATTAGTCCTAGTAAGTATTAGGTAAAAATTGATTCTATATGAATTAGCAAAATCTCAGAGAAAAAGAGACCTCTCCTTATAAATTCAAATCAAAATTGCAATATGATTATATTAGTTTTAATATATAATAGTTATAATCAAATTTTGAATTACTTATATTTTGTGTAATTGTTAAATTACATGTTTTTTAAATAGAGTTTTTATACAATAAAATTTTTAATATTATAATCAGTATAAAATTAAAATATCTACATTTTGAAATTTATTTTAAATAATAAAAATAAATACATGATTAAATATGCTTAAGTATTTTTATATAATAAATAAAATCTATAATGAAATACTCTCTAAAATTTTGTTATTATGCTAATATTTAAAATCCACCAAAAGATTTTTAAACCCCCCCCCCCCTTATGAAATAATCCTGGCTATGATACTGCTAGTCATATTAGCATGGATTAGTAATAGAGCCTTCTTGAGAGAACGATTTGGTAGCAATGCCAACACTTCTATATTTACTTCCCTTTCCAAAAATATTTTACTGCCCTCTTAAAAGTTACCCTTTTCCCCCGAAAATCATTACTACACCCCCTCCCCACCCGATTATCTATAGGTAAAATTTTGATAGAGGGGAAGCACTATTAAATGATTTTTATTCCTATAAATGTTATCGCAAGTCTTTATGTTAACATCCTTAGGCTATATTAGAATAAAAATAATTTTTGGTTTCCACTTTTTTTATTAAAAATGTTTTTTTCCTACAAATTATATATTATAGTCCATATTTAAAAAGAATAAACTTTTACTAATTTTTCTTTAAAATTCAGGTTTATAATAGTATATATTATATACATTTTTGATGAGGGGTATCCAGGCGGAAATTTTTTTTTACCCCCATCTCACCCGGCTACGCCTATGGATTTATAACAATTCAAGGGCTAGCAGATATCAGAGAAAAATTTGCAAAATAGTAGAAGTCGTTACTCACGCCAGCTCAGTTTATTTAACAAGTTTAAAATAACTTTCATGAAATTAAGTATATATCCTTTCACTTAAATCTAAGGTATGATAATTCTAATTTAAAGAAACCAGAGATTAGTATTGAATAATAATAAATTAAATGCGCGAAGTCGTTAACGGCACTCCAGAGGTAGGGAGTTTATAGTTAGCTAAGACGTAATCCCTATGTTTACGTATAACAACGACCACGGGTTGGCGAGCAGGCAGGATTAGTATCAAAAGAAGATTACCTTGATCCCGATAGACCCAAGAACAAACATTAGAAAAAAATACTATCTAACTAGTAAGCAGCTTTTCAGTCTGAAAGCGAATCATCAGAAGTATTTTCATCTGATCTGCCGCTGCTTTATTCGCTTTAAATTTACAAACATGGCAAAATATGACCTAATTGCAGTGTCTACAGGACAGGATTTTCACTGGATGCAAACCTCCTTCAAAAACCTTTGCCTACCCCCCTAAAAAATTACCGCTTTATTATTATTTTCACCTATTTAATTTATTGATACTCTTTTCATAGAATTTATAAAGGATAACTTAAATTAGTCTATCTCTACAACCAACTATCGATATTTTGTGAATATAAAGAATTTATTTTTTAGATAATAAATACAATTAAAACTTCCATTATTTACAATGAATTAATTATTATGGCATTATGAGCTTGCTGAAATATCTAAACCTTAAATTACATTTAAAAGGATAGTTTATTTGGAAAACAATGTGTATGATTGTTTGCAATATATAGATTTGGTCGATAAATTGTATATAATAATTCCATAATAAAAGTATTAATTTTTACAGCAATAAATTTTGTCCTATTTCATCTCAAGATTTAATAGATAACCCCCAAAAAATTGCTCCTACCCCCATTAAACCAGCCTACCCCCTCAAAAAATAGGATGAAAATTGTTCCAACCCCTCCCGCTCATGTAGACGCTGCCTAATTGACTTGAACCATAAATTAAGCAATAATGTAATAGGGCTAAAATCAAAATATTTGTGAATTAGGAAATTTCTTATATTTCATATTGTTATTGTTAATTATAACATAAAACGAAGTACTTAACAAAGTAACTTACTTTATTTATAGATTAGAAAATATTCAATTACATTTAACTTTTACTTTATAGTAGAGTGAGTTGGGAATAGCCTGGAGGTTCTCATAAATATTAAGCCAATAACCCCCCCCCCCACTACACCACCTTCCACTTAACCTTACTATAAACAAAGAAAGATTAGTAAAAGTTAATTATTTTTCAAAATATCAAATATAATTCAAAGATTTTAGAAAATAAACAGGTTTATAAATAGAAGTTAAAACCGAATTTTTTTAATAACAGTGACGTAGCTTCTATAAAAGAAAGAGAAGATTGCTCTTTTGAAATTTTTTCTACAAACTTGAATAAATTTAATATAATTGAAGTATCTTTGAAGTATCTTTGAATATAAGTGTAATCCATAAAGTATTTTTGAAGATTAGTTTATATAAAAAATCGTTTATTTAAACTATTTATATTTTACATTCTTTTTTTATACTAAAAACTTTGAAAAGGTTGCAGAAATCAAAAGCAGAACATAAATGGTGTAAACGTATATTACGTGAATTTATTGATATTTAAATTAAAAAAATATAATGATCACATATTCAAAAATAGTTTGCTATATATATTGACAATGTAATTTATCATAAATTGATCTTTTTTTAAAAAGTTAAAAATAAAAAATTGAATATTAGTTTGTTAAGTAAATTGATTTATAAAATATAAAATTTAATATTAGTTTATAAACAAATTGATTTAAAATAAAAAAAGTTGTTTTTAACAAAAAGAAAGAAACAATT